TTTTTTTTAATTAACAACACTACGATTTTTTTATGTTGGTGACCACCTTATAACTCCACGTAAAAACATCACACCATAATGTGCAATGGGTGTCACTAGCTTACGCCCTTCTCAACATTTTCTGTCCAAGACGCTCTTTTCACAGTCGATCCCGCATTGGGAAACGAACCATGTGCTAGGTATCGCTCTAGATCATTTATGAGAAGGCAACTCTTTTTGACAAAAACAAAAATACTGAAAATAAGTACGTTCCTTAGATTAGTAAGAACACTCAGTCAATCTAAAAACAGTCAACATCGCTTAAGTTTTCAGAAGAGTCAGAACATCAATCAAGAATCTAGTGATGAAGAGAATGCAAAATGCACGATATGCCTAATGCAAGATACCCTATATGCTTACAAGCAATGCGAGAGATATAAGTAGTAATAATATACAATATAATACAATGTAATGCAAAATCACGCAAGCATTCAGAATGAGCAGATCCCTAAGGATTTCCTTAGAGAAATGAACCTTTGAGAATCCAGAGCTTTCGTGAATATGTCAGCCAACTGGTTTTGCGTAGAAACATACTCAAGGATAATCACATCATTCTCGACCAAATCTCTAATAAAGTGATACCGAATATCTATGTGTTTAGTCCGAGAGTATTGAACCGGATTTTTAGAGATGTTAATTGCACTGGTATTATCACAAAAAAGGTTCACGGTTCTTACCTCAAGACCAAACTCAATCATTATTTGCTTCATCCACACGAGCTGGGAACAACAACTTCCAGCAGATATGTATTCGGCCTCAGCTGTAGAGAGTGCTACGCAGTTCTGCTTCTTACTAAGCCATGAGATGAGATTGTTACCTATGTAGAAACAACCACCAGAAGTACTACGCCGATCATCGACGTTCCCGGCCCAATCTGAATCACTATAACCTGCAAGGCTAGAGGAAGTGTCACGTGAGTACAAGATACCTAAGTCAGATGTTACGTGCACATACTTGATAATGTGCTTTACCGCCTTCAAGTGCGATTCCTTAGGATTTGCTTGGTACCTTGCACACATACCTACACTGAAACATAGATCAGGTCTACTGGCAGTCAAGTAAAGTAAGCTTCCCATCATGCTTCTATAAAGCGTGGAATCAACTGAAGTTCCAGCATCATCTTTAGAGAGCTTAGAATGGCTCCCCATTGGTGTTGCTGGACACTTAGAATTTTCTAAATCAAATTTTCTCACAAGATTTTTGGCATACTTGGTTTGATGGAGAAAGATCCATTCTTTGGATTGCTTTACTTGCAGACCCAAAAAATAGGACATCTCTCCAACCATACTCATCTCAAATTCTCTCGACATGTTACTGACAAACTCATTCATCCACGTTCTCGAGGTAGAACCAAAAATAATATCATTTA